AAATGGAAATAAACTTCTTTAAAACAAAGTTTGTAATTTGCTTATTTACATAACTTTAAAAAACGGTGTTACTGTTTTGTGACTTGTATATAAAATCACACTTGGTTATGATCAGCGCTCCAATTTCACTACTGCATACATTTTTTGGTTTATATTTATATTAGAAGATTGATTTTCCAACATATGTACATAGATGTAAATGGTTTTTCCATTCAGTTAATGTATTGTTCATTCTGAAATAATGTAATATTTATTTTTCACACATTTATTTATTACAATTATAATATTTATTTACGAAGAACGTAATGTATCTTAACACAACATATTCCCTCCGTTCCAATTTATAGTGTCTGGTTCATTTTACGATGTTTGACTGAAATTATTTTCAAATAATTTTATATGACAAATGATATAAAGTTAAAAATAAAAATTACATATTAAAATACTACATTTAAAGATTCACAAAACTAATTATGACAATAGTACTTTATTTTATCAAATTGTTATAACAAAAATAGATGAAGAAAATGAATGAAATTTAACCTTGTGAATAGTGAATAAACGTTATAAATTTGAATTGGGGTGGTAGTAATATTCGTTTTGAAGCAAAGATACTCGCGTACATAGGTTTCGTACTTTTTTGTCCATTCATAGAATATGTAAAGAAATACTGGCCGAGGTAATAACTAGGTTTTTAATTTGAGTTTACCTCCTCACATTATTTGAGTTTATTTTGTCATTTGGTTAATGTTTTGTGTAGGCGGAAGTTATCCCAATTGTCTTCATCACTCCATCAAGTTAATTCATCCCTTCTTGTAAATCCTTACTAAATTTGAAATGAGATAAAGGATAACTAGATTGGTCTATAAGATACCTGGACTGAATCGTATTAAAAGATTGGATTCAATTGATTAGTTAGTTCAACTCAAGGGTTTATATACCGTTTATTTTACTCTTGGACTTCCAATGTGTGATGCACTCTAACTCCCCCCTCAAGTTAATAACCGAGCCATTTTGAACCTAGCGATTGACCAATTGCAAATAGACTCTCATCTCCTTGATTTTTTTTAAACACCAATACCCAAAAGAAGCACAATAGACTTTCAGACAAGCAATTGTATTAAATGGGCCATAGGCCGTTGGTACATACTGCGTACAACCAATTGGTTAAAGGGTCGTTAGACATGAACATTTAGACAGACACTTTGACAAACAATGGGAGCCAACATCCGCTCTGAAACCATGATAGAACTTAGAATGAGGCAAGGATAACTAGATTGATCCATAAAATATTTGGACTAAACTATATTAAAAGATTGAATCTAATCAATAAGTTAGTTCAATTCAAGAGCTTATATATCAATTAGTTTGTTCTTAAACTTTTGATGTGTGATGTACTCTAACAGAACCGATTGCAAAAAATTGATTCTCTCTTTCCTTTCACTTGCATTATGTTTGGTTCATTTGGAAGAAGAAGAAAAGAAAATGATTTTTTCATATTTTTCTTATCAAAATGGAAGGAATTTTGTTTCCCCTTATCTTAGTACATTTTGGGTTTTCATTTTTTTCTTTCCATTTTTCTTTCCCCCTCTAACCAAATAAGAAAAAATTATTTCCATCTCATTTTCTTTTCTTTTTCTTTTTAAATTCTTTAAACCAAACATAGTGTTAATGATGAAAGTATTACTTTTTCCTACAAGAAGTAATTGACCAGGCCCAATTGTGACTTCGACCAAACGTTTCATTCCTAAGCATAGAAAATTGACAATGAAATTATGGTTCATGCCTTGTTAACTTTCAACTTTGGAGGGGAGGGATTACCGAGTGTTAAAGCTAGTGTCATTAGAAATGTCATATTTGCACTCCAACCTTTACTAAGGACACTCTTCTTTTTCTTCTGAAGTATCTAAAATGACAATAATCATCTTTAATACTTAGGCTCTGGTCATTTGGGTTGTAAAATAGAATGAAATTGTAAGAATTTGAAAGAAATTGGGCATGGGTAGAGTAAAATTGTAGAATGAAATTGTAAGAATTTGAAAGAAACTCGGTGGTGGCTTGTCCATGAGCAGAATTGGCAGTAGTGTTTTGTTGGCGTAAAGACATTTTGGATTTGTGGTGTTTTCGTGAGTAGATTTTCTAGACAAAGAAATAAATCTTAACGATCTCACAGTCGGTGCCTAAAATGATGATGTAAATTATCTCCTAGATAAACTACTCTAGACCGGGTCTAGAGTGATTTATTAAGTTAAGAACAAAAAAGACGTACTCCCTCCGTCCACAAATAAACTTTACGTTCATTATTCACAGGGTCAAACTTTATTCATTTTGTTGGCTTATTTTCGTCACCTATTTGATAAAATAATATAGTCATGTCACCTCTAGTTTTGTAGATCTTTTGATATAGTTTTTTAATATGTAATTTTTATTTTTCAATTCTACACCATTTTTCATATAAAATGATTTGAAAATAACTTCAGTCAAACATCGTAACGCGTAATGTAAAGCTTATTTGTGGACGGAGGGAATAGTAAATAGAGATTGACATGGAGGACTATAGGTGGGAAGACCTAGAGTCTAATTGCTATTAAATATAGGAGGAATACAAGGAAGAATTACACAATGTGCTTTCTAGAGAGAGAAATTGGATCCCTCCCTCTGAGGGTTACAAGAGTATTTATAGGGTAGAGGGGTGAACATGGCACCCAGCGCCCCTGTTGAACCATTTGATGAGGCGACACATCCTTGTCTTGTAGCGTTTGTCTTCTTCCAAGATTGTCAATGACAGTGTTTTGTCGTGTAGTGCTTGGACGCATCCGTCGGTGCAATGGATCTTATTCCTTCCAAGCTCTACCTTCCAAAATATGTTGAGCTGTGGATACGTGTGATACCCGATAAACTACTCAGGTGGATCTTTCCCCTAAGATCACTCGATTGGTTAATGGATTCTCTCACCTAGACTTTCTCTCTTACCAATAATGTGAAGGGTCCAAAACCTACTCAGGTGGTTATGGACCACTTGGTCAGATTTACCACTATTCTGGTTTCCTTCTTAGGAGTTGTTCTTTGACCTACCCGATTAGGGGTGGGCGCGGTCCGTGATGGTCCGTGATACTACCGGAACCTATCACGGACCACTATTATTTAAACGGTTCGGTATCGGTACGGGATGAACTCCAAAACCATTCGGTACCATTCCGTTTTGAAACGGAACGGTATAATACCATACCCATGCTCAAACCGTGCCAACAAATGAACGTACATTACTTAAAGAATATTGAATTTAATGTATAAATTTGTAAAAAAAGCACAAGAATGTTAAATAAAAGTATTCATCTCAAATTTAAACGGATCATAAACATAAAGAATAAAAGATAACGAGTTCAAAGTTAAAAAATAATTTTTTTTCCAATTCATATAATATCAGAATACTAATAACTATAAGAAAAATAATTCCAATAGTAATGATAAATATATAACAACAATAATAATGAGAGAGTTTTAAAATAAATAATAAAATACGAAGTACTCTATACACGGTAAGACAAAGTAGACAAATACTCCATAATTATTTGAGATACGTGCTTCGTGTATAGCGTTGAACGGTTCGGTTCGTGATAATCGATTTTAAATATTTGTATCACGGTCCCGTCCCATTTGGTATCGGTTCGGTTTCGTTTCGTGATGAAAAAAATCAATCCCGTTTGAAAACACTATAAACGGTTTGGTACCATTACGGTCCGGTATGGTACCATGCTACTTCGGTTTTTTTGCCCACCCCTAATATACCCGATGGATCACTCACTGTAGTGCAAGCCCCAGTTTTTATCCTGGGTGGAAATACACCCGTCATTCATTTAACCAGCATGAAGAAAGCTTCTCTCCCTTTTAGATACCTTGGTGGTCCCATTACATCTTTTAAATTTAGTGAAAGATTGTGAAAAACTTATTGAGAAGATAACTGTCAAAATTATTGCCTGGTCCTCTAAAAAGCGTTCTTATGCTGGCAAGGTTAAGTTGATTAATTCTTATCTGTTTTAGAGTTATTAGCTTTTAGAGTAGACTGTTCATTGTTCTTGCTATGGTCATGAAGAGGAAACAATCTCTTTGTAGAAATTTTCTATGAGGATCTTCTCAAGATCAGAAGTGAATTCCTTGGGATAACATTTGCTTGCCTAAGAAAGAAATATGGGGGGTCTAGGCCTTAAAAATCGGATTCTTTGGAATAAAACTGATATTATGAAGTTGGTGTGAGACATTACTTTGGAAAAAGAGATATTATGCATCAAATGGATCCATAATATATAGATACATAAAGAAAGTACTATTTGGGATTTTCCAAAATAAAAGAGATGCTTAGGTCCGCTGGAAAAAGATCCTACAAACTAGAGACTGTTTTGTGGACATGGATAAATCTATTCCCTATAACCCAGAAGAGATTGGATATCAATAGCTATTGGGACATAGGAAAAAAAGTTAACTAGTCGGAATTGGTCCGGAATAAGTTTTCCATCCCAATAGCTATTGGGACATAGGCAAAGAAGATTACAGCAATATTTGCTGCTTGTGCCTACTATATTTGGAGAAAAATGCTAGGGGAAAGGTGTACCCCATATGTCCCTCACCCCTTCCTTGTCCACATAAATAGGCAAAAAATTCAAAAAAAAAATAAAAAATAAAAATCAAATAAAAATGGGTGGTGGAGAAGAGGGTGGTGTACATTTGGGATAAACTTTTGGTGTACCCCTAGCATTGCTCATATTTTAGAAGATCAAGAACTTGGCCCTGCATACAAACACCCTTACCCCAATTGATGATACTCTCCATTATCTCCCAAATATGAGTTGCAACAAAAAATTAAGATCAAGGAATTATAAATATGTGAAAAATCACAACAAAAGAACCATTGGATATCAAGGTAGCATTTTACGTAGTACGAGTAAATGACTCGAAACATTTCTACCGCTACAAAATATGCACTTCTTCAAACGCAAATGTGCACTCCAACTAACCAACAAAGCGTCATTCTCATTTCTCACATCAACCATCATTCTCAATGCATCCTCACCCTCACTAGATAAAAGGCTTTGATACAAACCTTGCCGCATAGAGTTGAAAGATTTGAACCAGGCAATCTAAACTAACTTGTACTATCAGTTCATATTCAAATCCTTGCCAGGTTGAAAGCCACATTGTAGTAAAATGCAGGCCTAAAAAGAATATTTCCAAGAAAGAACAGCCAGCCATAATGAGGCTTATTTTGCATCACCATTCAATTTCATCCAAATTTAGTAGTTGAAATATGGAGTATCAATTAATGTAATAAATGATGAAATCAAATGGCATCACATAAGATGTGATCTTCATGTGTAGAGGCATTAGCAATCTTGTCCAGTACCTTCTTCGGAGTGGGCAATGGTGAATATGAAGCAGCATTAATAATAGCCTGATTCAACATAAAAAGGAAATGAATGTGGCTATAAATAATTGACACCTCAAGAAGAGCTTTTCCATGAGATGTTTTACCTGAAATTTTTCTAGTAGTTTGTTCATCTTTGAAACAGCCTCTTCGTAGTTATTCCTGGAGAGATGTTCGATAAATTATTTCTTTGAAAATGGAAGAGAAATGTGAAAAGGCTTTCACAAGAGGGCAGATACTAACTCCTGTTTTCTAGTCTTTGATGAAGTGAGCTCTAGCTTCCCATCTTTAATCCTATCTTTTTCCTGCAGATACCGGTTGAACATCAAGCCTAAAAGGGGAAGAGAGGACAAAAAGAAGTCCCATAAAATTGTTTTGCAAAGAAAATTTTAAAGTAGACTTCTGCTCATGTGCTTGTTGGATTAAAACCACAGGCAACCAAACATAATATGGAGATAGTAGTATGCAATAACACCACGAGGCACCAACAAACCCAGTATCATCCCAACTCCATTGAATCTTGAGAAAAATATCTAAGCAATCTTACCCTTATAAAAAACATAGGTTGTTTTCGTTAGAGGTTAGACCCAATGCCGGTCCAAAGTAAATTAGGGCCTAGTTCAGTAAATGAAATTTTGGGCCTTTTGCACTCTGCAGTATAATGTAATTCATACTGTAATTAAAATAATACCCCGTATATATTTAGAGTGGTATATGAGATACATGCTTTCAAGCAGAGTATTTGTTTTTCTTGAATTCAGTTGTTTTTAGGCCTTTTTCTTTTGAGATTACACAATGTACCTACTATATGTATACTTCTTTAAAAATAAATTGAGCATTCTAATTTTTTTGGGCCCGGTGCTCTTGCACCACAAAAACATCCCCAGGGCCAGCCCTAACTTAGACCCTTGATGCATTACTGCCCAAAATTTCATAGAAAGTAAGAAGCAATTTTATTGAGCCATTTTGATTTAGTCCATTATATGCAGCCCACACATTAAAGCAAAAGATAAAGGAAAACACTTCCCAATAAATATAAGTGAACAAGCTGTTAAAACATTCTCTGGAATAGCTGGAAGAATGAAATGATTTAAACGATGGGCTGGGTATAATGACAAACCAAATTAGAGGCTTGCACAAACACACAGGGCAGCCAGCCAGCCCCCCCCCCCCCATAAGATCTTGTGATATGAGTTATGTGCACCTGGCATGCATAGAGAAGAAACTCATAAATGCCTTAGTACCTACTTTTTAAATCCATTTTCCATAGGTTCTCTTTAACCAACTCTTGACAAAAACATCTGCGCATTGTACGATTGGAAAAGGATTAAAGTAGGTTCTATTACCATGAGTATCAAGAAATAGTTAGTTAGTTACTGGTCTCAAGTCTCAACCCTATACAAATGATAGGACAACGTGGTTGGAAGAGGGAAAGAAATGGACAACAAAACTTTGAAATGAATAAAATGTGTTTATTTCTGTAAGATTCAAAATTCAAATGAAAAAGATAAGTCCTGGAACTCACCCAAGGAATTGCACCCACTTTATGTTACCGACTTATTGATCCCTGGCTCATTACAGATGAGCCATGATGGGTGTAGACTATACACACAACATTTCAGCCCATTTCATGAATGTTAGAGTGTTTGATACTCATGCACATATATCAGTATATCGCTAAACTAAGCAGCCAAGAGGGCTCAATTGACACAACGCATGTAACCATAGAATCAAAGAGAGCACAAACCATCAACATGATCCTCTCCCTAACTCTTTCATTCAGCCAACTTGCATTTTGGACATCTAGACGCAAAACAACCCTGGTTCCAGCTGCAAAAGCATAGCAACTTCTTTGCTATTATCGATATAAGAAATTGATTACGTGAGCTAGTATGTAAGCGTTAAGAAAATAAGCAAACCTGTGTTAATACTCCTTATGCGAGGCTTGGCTTCTGCAAAAGATGCCAAATTTGTTAGATGTGTAGAAAAATATGGAGTATTCAATTGCATATTTTTTCTCAATAAGACAAACAACCTGCACTTGCATTTGTATTTGGGTTCTTTCCCTTCTTTTTCGAGGAAGGGCTCGCACGCTTTTTATGCGCCTTGGTATTTGCTGCAAAGAGAGCCAATGTTTCTAGTGAAAATGAAATTTCATTTCAACACGGTTTTCATTTCTATAATAGTAATATCACCTTCTGTAGTGGGTTTAGCCTTGCTAGTAGATTCTCCTTGCCCAGTAAAGCTCACAGAAACATGATCTGAATGCAAAAGTAAAGTTAAATTAGCATTAGCACGTGGACTTCAAAGTTCAACCTTTTCTGAATGTTCATCAAAAGAAATTATTCTGTATCAATCAAGCAGCATAACCGAATGAGATACTTGAAAATTAAACATGTTTGCTAATATGACTTTCTTTGCATGGGTTTTCAATGGCAAGCACCTTCTTTGTGGCACCATTGGATTTCCCTGCTCAAGATGAGACTGGCTCTTGACGAAGCAAATTCAATGGTGTGACAAATAAATAGAAGGTGCTCTTCCTCCGCTCTCCATATGGAGAGCTCCCTGCACCTTACAAATTAGGTTCTTCACAGGATCCTAAAAATTAAACCAGATTAACTCGAAGCCGTCTTATAATGTAGACTTGAGCACATTGATATAGAATTATTAAAAGAACGAACGAAATGAAAACGTAGAAATCCAATTTTTGAATGAAAAAGGAGATCGAGGTTGGAGGAGGTGGAGTACTTAGAGTGATCTTAGGAATAACTTCTTTATTCGCGAAGAGCCCGCTGCCGTCCTGTAGGAGGAAGTTGTAGACCTTCCCAAGTCGCCGCCGCGGCAACTTCTTCTCGAGGTGGGTCGCATCTGGCGCTGCCGCCGCGCATCGAGGAGGATATGAGCTGATTGCGCGTTCAGCGGACCGGAATACGCTCCTCGCCGGCGGCGAAGGTGAAAACCCTACGAGAGAAAAGCGCGCGGTTCCAGAGATCAATCTCCCGGCGTTTCTGATAGCTGACATTCCTGGTTCGAGGATTCAGGATTCGAACTCCAAGCCTGATTTGTACCTCCGTATGAACAAAAACAAGATTTGGGGTTCTTAGGGTGCTTTGGTTCAAAAGGAGGGAGGATCCCAAATAATAGTACAAATTTCAAAAATAATACTAGTACTTGTAATAAATATTCTTTCCGTTCCAAAATATTTACAACATTTACTTTTTCAGCAGTCGTAGAAACTTTTGTTTATTTTTACGTTTTCATTGGTTATTTGATAAAATAAAATATGCTTGACACCTCTTATTTCGAAGAACTTTTCATGTAGTTTTTTGATATGTAAATTTTATTTTTTATTTCTATATCAATATGTAAATAAAATAAATTGAAAAAACTTGATATTTTACCTCGGAAACACAAGTGTGACAAATATTTAGGGACGGAGGGAGTAATAGGGAGTAATATATCAGAGTTCACTATTAAAAAATCATGAATTTTTTTATTTATGTATACATCTTTTAATCGATTATTTAATATTTCCTTCGTCCTAAAACTTTCTTCCCAGAGCACTATTCTAACTTCACGAGAATTTATATTTATTTGTGTTTTTCATGGCCTATATGATAAAATAAAATATTTTTGTCATCACTTGTTTTGTTGAACTTTTGATGTAGTTTTTAAACATGTACGGAGTATGTTTTATTTTTTATTTCTATACCAATATTTAAATAAAATAGATTGAAAAAACTTGAGATTTTTTTTCGTTTTGCGCAACGGGAAGAAAGATATAGGACGGAGGGAGTAAAATAATTTTTTTGTTATTTCTTATTTCGAAGAATTTCTAACACATTCTTTCCGTTCCAGAGTATTCATCCCATTTAATTTTTTTGAGTCAAATTGGACAAACTTTAGTTATCAATTACTCTCAATTTGAATTGGATATTAATCTTTGAAAGCTCTAAGCAAGTTAGACTAATATATATTACTCGGGGTATAATGTTTTACTTAATTAAAGTTTAAAGTTTATCCAATTTGACTCGAAAAAATTAAACTAAACGAATACTCAGGACGAGGTAGTAATTTATAAATATATAAATTTAATTTTTTTATTTCCACACCAATCTTTAAATAAAATATATTGAAAAAGAGTTAAGATTTTGCTTCGTTTTACAAACAAGACCAGAACCGAGAAGAACAAATATATACCCCACATTTTTCCTTAAAATGAAACAAAGATCCTCTTGGGACAATCCAAAAACCCAGAAGAAAGTTTAGGACTAACACAGTTTCAAATTCTGGCTATTGTAGATGAGAGTTACAATGAAAAGCTAGGTAGCTAGCCCTGGAGCTTAGTGGCCTTATCATCATACAACAAGGTTTCTGCTTTTCTTTTCTTTTTCTCGCCTACCAACCTCTTAATGTACGCAATGTACCCATCAACATCAAACTTCCTTTTGCAACCTGCGAAATTCATGTACCGAATCTTCCCAAACACTGGTCGCTCTCGCCAACCCTGAATGGCAACGAAAAATTAATGAATTTCCATTTTGTTTCCCATTGATTCAATGTGTGTGTGTGTGTGTATGTGTGTGTGTGTGTATGTGTGCGTGTGTGTGTGTGTGTGTGTATTCTACACTAGTGCTGGGAGCTGAAACCTGGGTTGAAGAGTGAACAAGCTTTGCGTGCATATAAAACTAAACTAAACTTAGACGATTCATCAACAACGTGAGCAAGAATCGTGCCAATCTTAACCAGCATTTATGCCTAACCTGGTCGTGTACGCCACAAATTGACCACATACAACCGACATAGCCACTTGGATCCCTTCCGTCTATTTCATACTGCAGGTGAGATCATCCGCCGCATTAGCAAGGATTTGATCAGAATCAGATCAGTTGCTGATATCAAGTAGTGACAAAGGAGGGCAATTATCTATGGCCCGATTACCTTGTCGTTCAAATATATTGCTGTTGCCAGAGCTTCTTCTGGCCCACTTGTCCATTCAAGGATCTTTTTAGCCCAATACATTCTGCATACAAGTGACTATAAGCGAGATGCTGACAAAAGCAATGAATGAGATTCCATTTTTGTAATATTTTCCATTCTTTTAGGTATTTGAAAGAAGGAAATGTATGTAGGCAATAGAACAAAACCAAACTACTTGCCTCATAAATCCATGCATTTTCCCATGATGAACCATCTCTAGCTGAGATGCATTCCAGAGCTGAAACAACACAAAAGAGTATAAGACAATGGAGCAATCACTCAAAGATTAGAGGAATTCCACTTACACTATGAAGATCAATATATGTGCATTATTAAAGATTAGATGGATTTCACTCAAAGTTTTTCTAAGACAATGGAGCAATCACACAAACACATATAAACACATGCATAAAGCATACTTAAGTATGATGTGGATAGCAATTTCTTACTGGATCTGCAGTTTGTGCCTTCTCCAACTGCTCTCTACTGTAAAGAGGAGAAATGGTCAAGACCTCGAAAATAATTTATAAATATCTTATCAATGCATTAACCTATTGTACTTGAAGTTGTGAACCTATTACTGCATAACTCATAGATCATATTAAGACCTAGAAATCAGTAGAGTTTTTTTAACACTAACAACTCTGTTACAATGTAGTATCTACTCATACATTCTCAACCTATTAAAACACATAGAGTTACTTCCCCCATTAGGGTTCAAACATGTAACCTCCCATTTGGGAAAGTCACCATGAGGCCGTCAGGCCGCTGGACCACAAGGTCTTTGGCGGTAGAGCTTTTTGGGACAACAACAAATTACTCCCCAGGGAAATAATGGAATAGAACCACTTGATGAAGTAAAGTGCGTTGCTAATGAATCAAAAAGAAATAATTTTGAAAACATAAATGCTCCAAATTCAGAAAGCAGCAATACAATGTATTTAAACTCACGTGTATATATGTTCGCGTTTATCACTTGCATGTTCCATTAAGGTTTTACGTGCCCATTCCCACGCACCCTGTAATGAGTCATACTGGGGCTGATAATAGCAGAAGTTATCAGCAAGTTCTCTTCGCACAATCAGTTCCTCTAGAAATGTATCGACTGCCTTCATGAACAGGGTTTACATCCAATAAGCATGATTCACATGTATTCACAATTGAGCATCAATCAGGGGTAAATGAGAAGAAATGTGAAGTGTGGCTTGCTGAAGTCAAATAAAGTATGTTGGAAATTCACGGGAAAAAAGTTCAATATATTCTATACTCTGTGAACTTGAGTTCATGTAACGTCAGCAGAAAAGATTTTTTTTTTTGTGACAAGCAGAAAGGAATATTATTAAAAATAAATTGATCAAAAGTTGAGCATATCTATAATATCCAAAATGGAGATCAAACCTTAGCATAACTTTTCTGAATTTTGCGGGCCTCTAAGGCGCATCTTTGTGCTGATATCTGTCCAAAATGTAAATAAGGGGATAGACCAGAGAGCGCCTTTGGTTTGAACGGGTTATTCCGGTCAGTGGAATAGTTTTTTATTCGTTTTGTAAGAAACCCATCTTTGATTCCCATCAGTACTTCCATCGCGGCATGTTCACCTGGCTCACACCATTCAAGTTCAGGAACTTCTGCTCCTTTCCTAATTCAAACAGTCAGATTCACAGCAACCCACCACCAAAAAGGGAAACATGGCTCAGTAATTACTGTTTATCTCACCTGACTACGTCTGCAATGAGCTGTCCCCAATCAACTGAATGGTTTGGAAAGGCCCATTTGTTGTTTTTGGCAGGTCCTACAGTAGGGAATTCAACAAGATATTCTGGGAGAAGCTTATTTATTTTAGCTCTCAAAGTCCTAGCTCCATACTCCAATTTGCCAGATGCCACCCAAAGTGGCACCACATTGTGTGCATCAACCTCATGTACCGCCACAGAACCATCCACACTCTCACATATCCTTTCTTTCCAGCTCCGCACTTCTCTTAATGGGGAGAAGTCTGTTACCAAAAGGGAAGCACCACATTCTCTAATGAAATTGGGAATTGTGTTGATCGCCTCTCCCTGCTCAAAAGTCAAGTCAAACCCAACAAAATCAAACAGCTACAATAAAAGGTTATGTTTGGCAAGTCACTTCGGGTGACTAGTTTAGTGTACAAAACAAGTGAATAAGAGATGACTAGACTATTTTCTTTTAACAAATGATTGAAGTAAGGAAATACGGTGTAGTTTGACATTGTGAATAGTAAAAGTAAAGTTTATTTAGGGATGTAGAGAGTATTTCAGTCACTCTTTATTAAAAAAAATCAACTATGGCCTGAGTTTTTTTTTCAACTAATCCTAACATCTTAATCTTGTTTATGTTATTTTACTCAATTTCAATTACTTTTACCAAACACTTCTAGTCTAGGAAGTAATTGGTTAACTTTTCAGCTCTTGTATTTTCTAGTCACCTTTCAATTTTCAATTTATACTCGGTATTTTCAATTTTCAATGTCAGTTTTCAATGACTTCTTTAAATAGTTTTGAGAAAAATAATCTTAATGGCAAAACAAATTAGGTAATGGACCATATATATTCACCGAAATAGCCCATATATATACACCTTAGTACATCTTTTTACATAAAATTTCCAAATTTTCCCAAAAGTCCTCTTTCTATTGATTTTAACTTTGTCTTTTCAAGACATTTTGCAGATATCTCCAGTTATTTTCAACACACTTCTAATCTAATAAGTTAAATTTCGAATTTTTAGGTCAAGATTCCAATTTCCAGTAGCAGTTCCAAATGATTTTGCAAACCTTAACAGAAAACTTGCCTGAAATAGGAAAAAGGGGATACCAAGAGTGGATTGGAGATCGCTGACGAGCTTCTCGAGGCCTCTGAGCATAAACCCTAACTGCCTGGCTTTGGCGCCCAGAAACTGGTCGAACAAATTGAACGCGACGACGACGGGGACATTGGCCTTGTCAGCCTGGTCGACGGCGTGGATCAGCGCCCAGTTGTCCCTCGCCCGTTGATCTCTGAACATCCAGTACACCACCGGACCGGCCACCGCCGCCGGTGGAGCCCCGGTTGCCTGCTTCAGAACCCGGACCCGGCCCGGATGCACTGCTTGCACCGGAGAAGCCATGCGAAATCGGAAACCCGTCGCCGATGGTATGCCTGGAGGAAAACAATTGAAATGAGAAAAAAGAAAAGAGGAGGGAAAAATAAACAGTTAAGTGCGGGTGTGTGGTGTTTAAAAGTGACACGCCAGAGGGTATTAATACGGTGAGTGAGTGACTCAGTTGGTCCTTCGGCAACCCAAGCCCCCCCGGTCCGGATTGAGGTTAGGGGTGGACATGATTCCGTCCCATTTCCATTCTTAAATTATCAATTTGATTTGTGAGATAAGAAATTTTTAGATCTTACATTATCTAAAATATAGTTTGAGAATCTCTAATTTTTAAAAAAGATTCTTAGATCTTACATTATCTGAAATATACTCGCGAGTTTTTAAAATTTGTGATATTATACTCCGAATGCAATTTTTAGTAACAGTTAAGTAGACTGGATAAACCATTGGAGTACATTACATTGATTACAGAATACTTTAAAACCCATCGGAGCTCATTTCAGATAATGTGGGAACTAGAAGTTCTTACCAGAAAATAGATAGTATCTCGAAATATATTTCAAATAATATGGGACATGTGAGTTGGCAAAAAAAATCGAAAGTACATAAAAGTAATTTTATGTCATTTTTTGGAATTGATTACTGGTTGTGTGATTCTAAAAGCATCTTTAATGAAGGTTGGTTGACTAAGAACCTTTGAAAATAGATGCTTCACATAAGCTCCCTAACACATTTTCTTTAACAATCACATGTCATAATTCGGCACCGACTATTTGAAGATTTCATGATGCTTCATTAGGCCTCAAAGTGATTCACCATCCACAGATCCCCATTCAATTCCCAGCTCCTACATGTCTCGATCTTCTCCTTACGTTATAGTGAATGATGTAGATATCACTAAGATACTAAGTAACGAAGACTAACACCGAGAAAGTTTATGTGGATAAGAACCGCCTTGATGTCGAACAAAGCACCGTAGAATTCAAAATATCACAATATCATACACGAAAGCACCTCAAAAATGTGTTCCGTCAAACTCATTCTAAATAGTTATTAGAAAAGATAAATGTAGCTCTGATTTCAACTGATAATCAATATCATTAACATTTTATAGGTCATATGCCAATGAGAAAATGAGATTTAATTGCTAGCAAGTGTTTCTTGGATGCCGTAGGATGCAAAAATGGATAAACTATTAAGAAATTTTAAAATATGAGCAATAGAACAATAAAAAATTCAAATGGAGAGCTCATTTGCGTATTTCACTTTGGAGATGTAGCCGCGAAAAGAAAAATACATTGAAGATTGATTTGAGAAGAATATGAAATAAGATGTGGAGAAGTTGAATGCTTTGTTTGAGAATAGCGTTTTCACTTAGCGTTAACATTTTGAATAAATTTTTAATGGTGCTGATTAATTCTGAAAACGTTAATACTAAAGAGAATAATTTTTTTTCAAAATGTTAACGCTAACTTATTATGCTAATGCCCAACGGAGTATCAATATCTCTGAGTGATAAGAGAGAAAATTAAATGTTTAATTATATTAATATGCAATACAAATTATGAGCAATTCAAACTTAAAGTTTGTCTGGTTTGACTCCAGAATTTTATAGTACTTTATTACTCTAGAGTAAGGTTGGAATTAGAATTTTATTTGCTAAAACATTATACTACAATTATGCTTTGTAAAAAATTATAACGAAACAATACACTTATTGATTAAGAGTGCATAAAAATATTTGTGTATCAATCTTTTAAGGGTATTATTAAATCCCCTCTTATTTTGGCTTAATCTATAGGGAGTATCATTTATGATGAATATGCAATTTTACTTTTTTAAATACAAAAGAGGGAGTTTAAATGCATACCAACTTCTAAGAAGGAAGTGCTCTTTTAACATAAAATGAGAATGAATATACCAATATCTTTTTTTAATTACATCGAGTCCCACTGCACATAATTTTTTGATTTTATAAACAGTATCCTTTCTTTGGAGAAAAGACAATGTCTATATAGCGGAAAATATTTTTATCGTTAGTGGATGTTGTACAATTGGCAAGGTAAAGAGTGTCAAGGAAATAAAACTCAAGTTTAATTCTAGGAAAACACACTGAGATACTATGAATTATGGTGTAGTGTTATGGTTGTCCATTAGTATGACATTGTACCATGGTTTCCTATCTAAAAGTGTCGCACTCGTTTTAAAGATCACGCTAGTTTGGGGCGAGCAAGAACATCAATGGCCGCCTCTTTCTACCCACCGATTTCACCTGGTCTACAATCTCGAGCTCGGTTCGCACAGTCTTCTTTAAGGTTCTTCTCGCTCATTGCTGCATATAACAATAATTGAATTGAGTTGGATTGAATTGAATGTAAAGACACACTCTTCTTCGTCTCCTTGCAGCGGCCTGAGCAATGTTCGTTTTGGTGTTAGAGCTCAAACCCCAGGTCGGTCTTCTCTTCCCTTTTTTATCACTTGGGCAAATTTTTCGGATCTGGAGTTCGGGTTTTAATTCATGAATTGATGGTTTGCGTTCTGTGATACCGTGTGTTTGGATAGATTTTCCTGGACGAGCTTCATGTAATGGAAATGTTGAATTTCACCAGGGTTTGACATTGTCCAGGTACATTGTGGAGCTTCAATTTCATGGGGTTTCATTGAAATTACAAAACAAGAATAAAAGACTCTTGAATCATTAGGGTTACCTGTTTCAAATTTTTCTTCTGTTCCTTTTCTGATTAATGTATTTAACTTGGAGTGGGACTGAGAAATTAGCTTTCCATTTACCATATTCTGGTTTGTATTGTCCCTTGGGGATTTTTTAGGGGTGATCCTTGGTGATTTATTCGCTTATCATGTTTATGTTGTAATTATAAATTTGTAACCAGCGGTTATGTGAGCCCCTTAGTTTATACCCATAGGATTTTCTACAGTTAAGTTTAATGCTCTCCCTAAGTTCAATTATCCTTTTTTAAATTATTTCTACATTCGTTTTGCCTTTGTATCATATATTCGGGCTTGATGATCTCATGATCAAATTAGAGCTGGTTGCCATTTCAACTGGTATTCGGATCATTTTTAAATAATGCTAAAGATGTGGGAAAAATATCTATTGAAACCATACAAATGGAGATTATAACACTTCTTAATCAGGTTATTTTTTAACTGTTTTTCTTTTAATTTTTTATTGGAAAGTTGCTAAGTCCTATCACACAAGGAGAAAATGTGTGAGAGCTGTGTTTGTAGAATTATGAAAACTGTTGCTAGTTACTACTACTTTACAACAACGGATTTGTGTTTTGCACCACCTGATAAAGATCATAATACCTAGCTGCTAGTTTAGGAATAACCGAATAACCCTAGCAGTTACATATTGTTGATGATGTGGTTGTAGCTTCAAGAATGTCTAATCACTTTCTTCAAAAATAAAATCCACTCTTTTCTATCTGCCTGACTTGACATTCGAGTTTGGCCTCATAACAGGTGGTGTTTCAACTGTTTCAATGCTTCATCTCGATCCACCAACTCCCTGTGGACAACAACCACTCATGTTTCCCCTTGAGAGAAATGAATAACTGCAGAAGGGGTTAGCCTATAAATTGCCTCAAATGGTGAAGTCCCGGTGGAGTCATGAAAAGAAGTATCATACTAAAAATCTGCCTATTGCAGCTAACGGATCCAAGATTTAGGCTGATCCTCTATAGAGATTTCATATTTTGATAAAGATTTTCCTTCCCCAATTCTCCGTGCCTATCTTGGGTTCTATCAACACCATAGCTTGTTGAAATAGAATTTTCCCCAAGCCACTTTGCTGTTTTGGTTCCAGCTGCAGGGACCCCTTTACCTAGAACTCCTGTCTCCTGGGGTTAACAAGAGATGGCAGCAGGCATTGAGACTCAACCAAACACTTCTGTTTACCAATTACACTGCAGGGAAATAGAGGAATCAGATATTTCCCTTCTACACTTTGGCTCTACCATATGGCCGTACAACAAACCCATTAGAATCCTAGCCTAGTTTTTGCGCCTTACCCCTTCAAAAATAGAATGACTGTTTCTGTGAGACTCTAGATTTACTGCTCAAAAGTCAAAACCTCATAGAAAAAGAGAAGCAAGTGAAGTCTAATGTGCCATTTTCATTTAGTCTGATATTTACCCGAAACTAAAACAACGTAAAAAATGACTCTTTTCTCCATATGTTTCGTATGACCCTCTCTGAAAAAAAGAAATATGATGATCTGTTTTACCTCATCAACAACCATTTCCTCTAAGGCAGCTAACTACAAAATTCCCATGATCATGTCTATGCCTTCCAAATCAAATAGATAAACATCCACACTAAATTCCGTTTATCCCAAATCCACCAGAATCTGTCCACATACCCTTCTGGCTTCTTCATGAAACCCGTTCTGAAGATCTGAAGATCTTTAAAATATGAGCTTTTGTCTCAAGGAAGCCAACTTCAGTCCCCTTGCAAAACTCTCGCTATTGGGTAACCATAGACATATGTGTTTCTAGTATTTCACATCAGGGGACATTGCATTACAAATGATACAAGTCTTTGATAAATATCTAGAATGGGCCCTTGTTTACCATCCTTAACTGGACAACATCTAGGATTCCTGGAACATATTTTATGTTGCACATTTTGTATATTTTTAAAGATTTCCCTTGTTACTAAAAACATGGTGTTCTGGTAATTATGGTTGGTGCCTGCCACGTAGGTGAGGATGATCAGTGATTTCAAATCCAAAGGTTAATCTTATTTTAAGTTGTTTGTACCCTTGCAACTTATGCAATACATAATTTCTTTTGTTTTCAGGGAGGGGGCAATACCCTCCCTTATTGCCACCCACCATTGATATGCTTAGAATCCTTGATCCACAAGGGGTGTTAGAAATGCAAGATTCTGTTCACATTGTCCAACCTTTTTATTTATTTCTTATTATTTTATGACGCCCTAAAAAGTTAATGCATATCTTTCTCTATATAGCAGTTAAACGATTCATGCATTCTAGGCCCCTTAACATTTTCTCTTAGGATGCAAGACTGGATACAACAGCTTCAGCAAGTGTCTTTTTGCAGTGTCATGCTCGGTCTTATTTTTGAATTTTTTTAAAATAATATTTTACTGAAGCAATAGTTGTTTCTCCGTTTGTAGAAAATTTAAAGGTAAACCGACTCGTCGGCGGGTTTCCATGATGTGTGTAGCAACGCCACAAGTGCTTTACCGAAACCCAGATGAAGGGACTTGGCAGTGGGTCGACTTGTGGAATGCTCTTGTAAGTTGCATCTTGCATTTTTTAGCTTTTGACATTTAACGTAGAGTACCATTGATTAGATGCTTTTTTGTAGTCTTGTATTCAATTGACTTGTCATGGATTATGTCCCTTTTCATTTATATGACATCAAGGCTTGTTGATGAAAGATAACTGTACAGCAATGGTTATATATTGCTGTGATTTTAACAACCTTCCTCTGCAACAATTCCCCACATATTTAATTTTATTAAACTATTATTACTACCTATTTAATCTGAAGACGTCTATGTTCTGGATGCAGTACCGCGATCGTATTATTTTTATTGGTCAAGAGATAGATGAAGAGTTCAGCAACCAGCTATTGGCCACAATGCTTTATCTTGAAAGCGTTGATGATTCGAGGAAACTATATTTGTACATAAATGGCCCTGGTGGTGATGTGAGTTCTTTGGAATGACATTTTGTTACTTTTTTGGATTTCTTCTCCTTATTTGATCAAACCTACATTACAGCTTACACCGTGCTTGGCCATATATGACACAATGCAATCTATAAAAAACCCTGTTTGTACACACTGTGTGGGATATGCCTACCATCTTTCTGGTTTTCTTCTTGCTGCTGGGGAGAAGGTAATATTTTTTATCTTATAATTTTTTTTTGCCAAGACATCCTAATCATCTGTCAAATACTCGCATCTAGCTTGTTTTAATGCCCCAAGAAAATCCTTAAATACTTGTTATGGTTATCTCACGGCTTTTTACGGTTATGAGGCCCAAGGGTATATACTTGTTAGCAGATCGCTGAAACTGAAGACCAAAGTAGCTCACGACCTTGTTTTTCCATTTATGTATGTAGGGTAAACGTTCTTCAATGCCTCTTTCAAGAATTGCTTTATCGTCTCCAGGTGGTGCTGCTCGTGGGCAGGTCTGTTTCCAACATATCTGTGTGAGAACAGATATTGCAAATTTTAGCTCTCATCCGTAATGTTATTAATCTTCTTTAGGCTGCTGACATACGCAATGAAGCGGATGAACTTCTCCGGATTAGAGATTACCTTTTTAAAGAGTTGGCTGAGAAGACAGGCCACCCTGTTGAAAAGGTATCGTACATCGAATGCCTACAATTGTGCATTCTTTAACTAGAAAACGAGTACTCCATATTTTTTAAAGATTGAGCATCTGTCTTGAACAGATTAAACAAATTATCAAAACCAAAAGAAAGTAAAAATGAAAAGAGAATTCTTTGAAGGTACGATGAGTAATCCTCAAAAGAACTACAAAAATACCCCCGGAGGTACATAACCACGTACCTGATTAAACCCGAATCGTCTACAAAAACATGGAATTTAACCGTCAAATAATCAATTTTATGAACCTTAGTACAATAAGGCATGTCATTACTGATAAATTATCTACTTATAGGCTTATTATATACTCCTTATTCTTAAGAAAAACTCATACCGCTGTAAACAAATATAATACGCGAGACGTATATGACATTTAGACGTCTAGATAAGCCTGAACTCGTCCCACTTCGCAAAACCAAGGGTTCTTCGAGAACTCATACCAGAATATCTGGTATATCAGTCCGGAAGTTCAGAGGTACTGCCCTTCTCGAGGGGCGAGGTGTCAACCAGAACTAATGCAAACATAAAAAAAAATATTGCAATATGAAGTTTGTATTTAGAGTGTCTCTACTGACTAAAGTAATGGAAGGCAACAAAAAAATGGCAAGTCTTGTTGAACAAATGAGATATTGTGTGGGGGTTCTATTTCTGCTATAAAAATTCACCCATCATTTGACCCTTGCAAAGCAGGTATTATGGCTGATTCTCATTCTAGTATTAGCAGAGTATTGCATTTGTTTTAGATTTTAAAAAGAATCAGTTTTTTATTTTGCTCAAAATCTAGTTTTTCATACACAATTAAGTGATTGATTTCCCAGAATCAACTATTTCTGGAAGAGAATCAGCCCAAAGATGAAGAAAAAAACAAAAGGCAAATGACACCTACAACTCCTACAAGTGTTTATACAAGATTTTGAATAGGGAGAGGTCAATTTATTGTTATTACTCTTATCGCTTGTTCCCTTCAATTTATTGTTATTACTTTTATCACTTGTTATTTATTTTTATTAAAATTTGATCTGACCCGATCAGATTAGATTAGGTAAAAAATTATTTTAGTTTTTTTTATTAGAATCAAATCAGTTTGGTTTTAATAAATTTAAGTCAGAATTAGTAAGATCGGATGAAAGAGAATATACCTTATTCACATTAACAAGAAATTACTCTGTATTATTGAGATGAGACTTTTTTTAAAATTTTTTAAATTAATTGAGTAGCTCGTACCCATAGGATGCCACGGTACACTCGCTTTGAAAAAATACAGAATACTAAAAGCTTTATAAGTCGCACTCAAAACACCAAATTTATTACTTCTTCCATCTTGTAATGATGTTTTATAATTGATCGGGGCATGAAGATTAATAAAAGTAGAATTTAGTGATTGTGAGTCGTGCCGAGGAGAGGGAAATCATATGAAACAAACACTTTTTCAAATAAGAAAAGTGGAACCTTTTTTGAAGAGACAACATTTGAAACATTATTGTAAAATTATTAAAAATCATTTTTTTTCAAACAGAACATTGTTAGAACTTTAATTTGAAATAATGCCATAATATAACACCATAAATTGGTATCAAAATATCCGAGATGTTACTCCATAAAAAAACGAGGACAAAAGAGAGCCGACATGAAATATTAGCGACAAAGATGCACCAAAAAGATGATATTTCAAAATTAAATTTTAAGGTGTCTAATACTCCCCCGTCCCATTTTATAACGTCTGTTTTGGTTTACGATGTTTGATTGAAATTATTTTCAAATTATTTTATATGACAAATGGTATATAGTTAAAAAATAAAAATTAAATATTAAAATACTACATCAAAAGATCTACAAATCTAATAGTGACAATAATACTTTATTTTATCAAATTGCTAACGAAAATAGAGAAAGAAAGTGAATAAAGTTTGACCCTATTAATAGTGAACATACATTATAATTTGGCACGGAGGGAGTAATATTTAGTTTGTATTATACTCCCCCCGTTCCAAAAAAATTACATTCTTCACTATTCAAAAGTCACAGAAACTTTTGTTTATTTGTGAATTTTTGATGGATTATTTGATAAAATAAAATATTCTTGTCATGTCTTATAAACTTTTAAATATGTAAACTTTATTTTTAATTTCTATACCAATTTTTGAATAAAATGATTAAAAAAACTTAAAATTTTGCTTCATTTTACGTAAAGTGTAGAACATTTTAAGACGGAAGGAGTATTCCGAATCGGCTGAGATTCTGGTAAAATTTTTTGGAGTTCAATTGGAGGGCTGGGCGAGATAGGCAACGGGCGGTAGTGGTGGCGGGGTGGGAGGTCGGGGAGTTTCGCCCCGTCATTCTAATTTGAGTACGAAATTCTTTAATAATATATTTAGATGTGGATACCTTTGCTTATCTACAAACTCATAAAATGCCAAATTATTTTGGGAATACATGAGTTAACGACATTCTCATTTCATAAGCATAAACTTCGAATTCTAACAAGACCTGATAAGAAGAATGAATCAGTAAAGAAGCAATTCTTATTTGGAACTCTGTTCAGATGATGATCTGTAAATGCGGAACGCAGCAATGCACATTGTGGCATTGCCAATCAGAGTCAAAGCCGCTTGAAGAGCCACCAAAACCTGAAAGATATATACGGTGGTAGACGCAGAAATCAGGCTCGGTTATAGGTAAAACTCTAAAAGGTTTCGAAGAACATTCAAATTCGAAATCATTACAACGTCAAATCCAATACTACTATCTTTTGGACTATAAGACCTTTATTGAACCTGCAACCATCAATTTGAGCTTTTGGTTGCGTTGGTTTTTTGACATGACATCTGAGTTGATAAGCTTTATTGATGCCTTGACACAATCCCATTGAATTGGCGTCAGTTCGGGCAAACATACACCCAAGTACAAACAACAACATTATCCTAGTGCCTCAACGGCTCCCGCCCATTGCGGGGTAAGGGTGGGGGTCAGATGCACGCAGTCTGACCCCTATCATTTAAAACATTGAGCGGCTGTTTCAGATGACCCATGATGAGCGTCGAGAGTTGCATTGACTAACTGTTACTTGACAATTGCAAGAAGCACAAACAGTTTAAAGAGCCAAGTTGTTTTATTCCATCATACTCCAAAGCCAAAAAATAGTGAATCTTTGGCTCCTCAGGAGAATGGAAATAAACATATACCCAAATAAAACACACTCAAAACATTGTTGTTTTGTTAATTTTCAAAATTTTATGCAAGCAAACATCAATTTCACAAGGAAAGCCATTCAAAAGAAGGGCGGAATGATGTTTTATGTCTTATACTTCCTCTGCCCCATAAAACTTTTCCGGAGTGAAAAAAAGTGCGCCTTAAAAATGTATAATTTTGGTATTGTTTTCTAATTATGACTCATTTATCATACACATCAAATCCTACCCTATTTTAAAATAAGGGGAAAATTAGATAATAACACCAAAATTAGATTTTTAAGGCACACCTTTTTTCACTCTGAAAAAGTTTTACGGGACATCCCAGTAATATATATGAGCCTCATCTGTTTACCTCAAGAGATTCCGAGTTATAGAAGAAATGCCATGTGCATGCACAAAGTGCTCCACCGAGCAATGGCACCTGCACAACAATTCGAAGGGAGCATGATTTCAGAACTCCATTCAAACGTAGGTTTCATACTAAAATGTAAACCTAATGAGGAGCAGTAGTTCAAGTGTCTTATGCGTTTGTTTGTGTCTTTATATTGAGACTATGTAAGATGCCTTAATGTGAACCCACAATAACGCATCTACATGAATTGTTTTCAAACACTAGTACACTGCCAATAACACTTCTCCATCTGACCAAAATTATAGTAACTTATAAGTTCATGAAAAAATAGAATCAAGAGTTGAGTATGTTATTAGTTCAAAGCCTCATACATGAATCTTCATTGCAAACTTTTAATGCATTCCTAAGATATTACAACATTTTCCCATCCCAGATCAACAATGCTGCAATCATATATTCTAAGATGGATCGCATTTTGAAGATCTAAGCTTTGCAAGGATTAATGACCAAAAAAATAAAAAAAATCTTGAGAGAATATGAGATCTCGTAAGTTCACATGAAAAGGAAAATTGAACAATGACTTACCATACCCCATGATAGCCCCTTCCAGGATTCAAATCCCGACCTCTCCCCATATTGCCAAACCAAAGCCATTGCAGTAGCCCTTTAATTGTTTAATATAGCCCTTGTAAGTGTTAAATAAGTAGGGAAATGAATCAACAGTTCAGTAAATTAATTTAGAACAAAAGCTGGAGGAAGCCCATATCTAAAATTACAACAACATCAACAATAACAACAACCAGGTAATGTCCTATAGGTGGGGACATGAGGTCGAGGGCGGGTGAAACCAGACCTTATTGTTACTTATAAAGCTTGAGAGCTTGTTTAGGAAAGACATTGGGCTCAAAAGAATATAAATAACAGGTTAGAATAATCAATTGCTTCCCCCATTTCAAAATGACCACAACGGTCAAAGATTCATAGTTTCATACTATTCACATAGACACACATGTTGACATCTTTTGCAGTTGATATGCAAGTTAAAATATAGTCATAGTCATGCGAGATTTGGTTAGATTCATTTCGATAAAAACTTTCATAATATAACTTTTTTTATACTTCCACCACTCCATGTTTTTTATGGAAACATAATTGAAGGTATTAACGATCTAATTTGTGCATTGCCAAGCATGAAAAGGCAAGGATTGCAATTGTTCCGGAACTGAGGGAATATTAACAAATGAGCAGCAGAAGTTAAACAATTACGCGAAGTGAAGAAAGAGTAAATAAAAAACAAAACAAAAAACGTACAAAGGTACCTATCTACACCAAACTCTCTCCTATAAGTCTATAACTCGAGACCTGTTTCACATTACATTATAATCTTTGACCACCAAACTCCACGACCTAGGGGAATGTCCTCGGTAAGGAGGAAAAACAACATGTCATGTCTAATCATCTCAACCCAACTCTTCTGTGGTCTATCACTACCTCTTCAGTTCTTCTTAAAGCTACCAACCTCTAGCACATCCCCACAGGACATGACAGTAAGGCATTTGTTCTATGCTTCAGCCTTAATTATCTTAACCTCATATATAGCTTTAAAGTGAACTATTCCCCATCAAAATTACGAGACAAAGATTAGCTCAAGGAGAATCTCAAATTGAAAAGAAAAGCTTCATATTACAAAAGTGGAGTGCTTAATTTAATCACTAATGTCTATAGAGTCATATGAGCAAAAACCTACCTTTTAGATGTGAAGACAAACACAAGTGATGCAAAATGGCGTATATAGGAGTGTTTGACAATAATGATTGGTGGTTTTTGTCAAATCAATCTTTCTTTAGGTAAATGATCACCCAAACAACTACTCCGTATTAGAATTGTTTGGTGACCAAAAATTTTTGGACCAAAAAGTTGGATTTCAAAATCGCGCTTCTCAAGCTTTTTTGGGACAATTTCTTGGCTTCGGGAAACAAGTTTTTTTAATCAATGTTAGTGTTTTAGATAATTTTTAATGGTGCATATTAACTTTGAAAATGCTAACGTGCTATAGATTACCATTGTATAACATTTCCAAAATACTGACGCTAAACACTATATCTAATATCGAAAGGAGCTAACACATATGGCTAACATAAATGTTTTTGTCCCAAAATAAAGTTCCATATTTGACACGGTACAATTATTTAAAAAAAGGTGGAATTGAGTAGTTCATTAAATCATTGCTAAATAAACAGAAAATGTGTAACTTTTTTTCGAGACCCAGAGAGAGTAAGAGCTAAAAGGTGAGCGCCAAACACGGCCATGTAATGGAAAAGAATTATACCATTCAATAACACTGGAGACATGAACAGCCCAGGTGGGCAGAGAAAGAGCATTGGGAGGTTCAGACGAAGCGGATCCAGAAATGGAGACTAAATCAATCCCAGCGACCTCCAAAACCCTAGCCATGGCTCCTCGTCCATAGGGAATACCGTGTATAGGGTGCGACGCAGCAGAAAAAGCGAATTTGGGAGAATTTGGGGCATGAGAATGTTGAATTTCCC